AACAACATCTATAGTAAACACAAATCAGCAGAAAGAAAGAAGTATTAATGGATCAAACATAATATAAAATACTTCTAAAGACAGGAGAAACGTCAAGAATCTGTCGGTCACAAAATCTTATTGACCCATGGCCTGTCAATGGCCTAGCTTACTACCAGCAGACGGTGTGAGAACGGCTTGCCTTCATACTTAGATTAACTGCATGGGTTAATCTGGTTTATAAATCCACTCAGAAATAGACATATGAGGGTGTAAGCTCTACCATTTTATATGTGAGTCCTTTGCTTTAGACAGATCATTAAGCCTTGTTTTCATGTTGTCATACATATTATCAATGTATAATTGTGTATTATAGTTCCGAATGTCATGTATAGCACCCTATAAAACAGCCCTTTGTTTGGTCGCTTTTGATCTTCTCAATTTTGAAATAACCTAATACAGCCTTAAGAAATTTTATAATAGGACTTTGTACAGGCCAAGCCATGGTCGTGAATGATCCTTCGGCCTCCTTACCGCGTCCAAAATATCTTTCACTGCATTTGCTGTGTGCTTGGTATTATTATCTTACTGGAAGATTAATCCCGATCCGATAAACCATCGTGTTCCTGAGAAAATGACATGATGGATTAGAATCTACCTGTTCTTGTTAACAGTCAGGGTGCCATTAATTTTGGGTAGCTCATCACAGCCGTTGACTGAGATGCTTCTTTGTTTGTTTGAATTTAAGTACAAAGTTACACAACGAATTATCCGTGCTCTGCCCACCACGAGTATCGAAACCCGGTTTCTAGCAAACATACCGCTGTGCCACTGGGAGGAACTGAGATGTAGCCACCCCAACTTCGTAATGAACTTTCACCATTCTTTACTGTAGATGGTATACACTGACTTTGATACCGTTTTTCTCTCTGTCATTGAACAAACTGTCGTTTATAGTTGCCAAGTAAGTCAAACGTGTATTTATCTGTAAAGAGCGCAGTTCCAAGTTTACTTATTATACTGTTTGTGGTGCGGAGCGATGCCCATTTCAACCTTTTGCATTAGTTACTTTTTCTCAGCAACAGTTTTCGAGTTGCTATTCATCCATCGAGACCATTCCATACTAACGTGTATCCTTATGCTCTCGAGGTTGGATTTACACTGTATATTTACAACAAGATTGTTGGTAAGAGGTGTACTCGACTGTCGTCTATGTCTTAAAGAACGTACATTTGGTTTTCTAACTCGACCACTTGTATTAATAACAGTGCCAGTTTCACGTCCTTCTTCTGAGTCTTGCATGCTGTTCCTACTAAAACATATAGTCTTGCAGCAATTATTTGCATTGAATATTCTTGGTCAGCCAAAACCTTGATTTCTACACGCTTGTCTTTCGATATTTCAGTTTAGCATCCATTCTGCATATAGATCTCTATATAGCTAGTACAACGTGGCCATAGCATCCATTCGCATATAGATCTCTATATAGCTAGTACAACGTAGGCGTAAGAAACATTCCGTATTCTATTTAGCTATTAAGATATACCCAAAGCAATCATTACATAGCTCTGTATAGTTAGTACAACATGCCGATACATCCATTACATAGCTTTATATAGTTCGTACAACATGCCGATACATCCATTACATAGCTCTATATAGTTCGTACAACATGCCGATACATCCATTACATAGCTCTATATAGTTAGTACAACATGCCGATACATCCATTACATAGCTCTATATAGTTAGTACAACATGCCGATACATCCATTGCATAGCTCTATATAGTTCGTACAAT